TCCCTTTGAAGGCCTTGGTTGTCTTCTCCAAGGTATTCGACCTTGTCAAGGCCTCAACAAGGGGGCGAGGGCATCCGACATTGTGGGGAAGGAGGGTGGACGTCCACCTGTGCAGAAATGAACCTGAAGGTAGTTAGTTCTTCGTTGCCGAACCTTTGGGCGAGCGAGGGTACTATTATACTGTAGCGATCAAGGCTGACCGTAACGTTAGCGTTCAAAGCAAGCTGGCTCTATTCTACGCTTACCGGTGGACAGGTTGAGCCAGAGGTTCTCCGTCTTTCCGCTGTTTTCGCACACCCACGTCTTGGGGTTCGGAAGAGATCCTGCGGCCGCTGTCGACGTGCTCCAGTGTGTCGGCGTACTTGCTCACGATAAGCTCGTTGTCGGCCACCCACTGGCTCCCCTGGAATGAAAGGGGGGGGGGGGGGGGCACCGCCGAATCAGTAGGCGCTACCAAGGGGGCAACGCCGAATCAACAGGCACCTACAAAAGGGAGAAACGCCGAATCAATAGGCACCTACCAATGGGGGAACGCCGAATCATTAGGCACCTACCAATGGGGGCACCGCCGAATCAATAGGCACCCCTACCAAGGGAGCAAACGCCGAATCAATAGACGCTACCAACGGGGCAACGCCGAATCAATAGGCACCTCTACCAAGGGAGCAACGCCGAATCAATAGACGCTACCAACAGGGCAGCGCCGAATCAATAGGCTCCTACCAATGGGGACAACGAATCAAAAAGACACGTATGGATAGAATTTCATCGAGAAGAAACCGTGCGACCGCGGACCTACGTACACAAGAGGCGGGCACCGCAGCAGCATAACCGTGCCTCTCTAGCCATATATTCGTGCCTTACGCGCAACAAATTGGGACCTTCATCGCAACCACAGCAGTGCTGTAGATCGCCCCCGTACACCGTAGTCATCTGACAAGCTGACTACTCTCCGACTTGTGCGCTGCCGTCGCTCCAAGCGGGCGCCTTCGCTCAGGCCAACGAACCGCTAGAAAAAATACCGCAAACGCGAGGGCGCAGCAGCCCGAACAAGTGCTCAGATTCTCAAAGCCTGCACCCCCTATTTTCGGGAGGGCTCTAGATCAACCTACCACCCCCATTCTAGAGAGGGCTCTAGATCTGTGCCAGTTCGCGAGGAACTCTAAATGCGAGAAGCCTATTAGGCCACCTGTGTCGAGAATTCACATTACGTCCAAGGCACGCACGCACGCCTGGGTACAACAGCGCGACTCTGTTGATCCACCAGCGCCCGCCTCCTCTCGAGACGTGGCTAAGGGTACGATTGGCCGTCGTCCTTATTTCAAGCAAGGTGAAGACGCCACAGAGCCACACCCTACAACAGCACTGCTGTGCCGGTACAATCTATTCGTGGCGTACGTAACCTACACCTCTGTTGGGCTCTTCCCAAAAATGGATTCCATCTTGCTCGCGAGCAGAAATCAAACACAGAGACAAAAAGTATAACAATAAATCGACTTCGAGACTAGTGCATACCATCGGCGTACCTCAGTCTGTTCTGCCGCGCCTTGATGCTCGATGATGGCGTCGACCGCCTGGCTAACGATCGTAGGCAGCGCCTGCCACCACAAAACAACAACAGCGACGCAACATCAACATCAACAGCAACAACAACGTACGTTTGAAGCGTACCGAAGTGAGGGTTAGTTAACCGAGCATGGCCGAAAAACGGTTGTCAGCTTGACAACAAGGAGAAAACAAGACAGGGCCGCCGATACACCCGGCAGCGACACTTCATCGCAGACACACGCTCGTTGTGCTAAGTACAGACTTGGGGGTGCTGTGACTGAGTGACACCACTCATGACCCGGGCCGATCTAGGCTGCTACTCGAAACAACCATGAATATGAAAACTTGGGGACACCGTCCGTACTTCGTGCGTCGTCAAGAACGCCGGCGTCAACCACTTTCACGCCGGCCGCAACCACCCTAAAAAACCCACACTGTGTATGCAGTTGAGGGTACAACAAGACCAACACAGACGTTTCTCAAGGCTGCAGACAAGAAGTACAACCGACCCGTCGTTACGAGCACTCTACGACTATGATTGGTTGCGGGGGGTTCCGTCATTGGTCTGGTCTTCAACCGGTACCAACTGTCTCGAAAAAACAAATAGAGTCATGGCAAATATATCCTGGACTCCTATCCGTGGATAGAGATAGCCTGTGGATAGAGATAGATTCGTTGCGTCACGTTGAGAAAACAAAACAAAACACGCGCACACAGTTAATGACATTTAGAAATGTTTTGTGCTTTCAACCGCACAAATGAGACTGACGTATTTTCATTGGTCAGCCGGTTAGCGCGGTCCATGCTAACAAAAAAGGCACAAACACAAAACAACATCGGGCTACACACAGACCTCGTCGGGATAACTGACGCTCACGCCGTCAGTTCCACCGCCAGCCTTGAAGGCAACTAGCCGGTGCGTCTTGACGATGTCGTACTTCTGCTCGTCGGTCCGGAACCCGCCGTCCACTCCCAGCGCGAGCACGGTCGGGTCAGCCTTCGAGCCCCCCTGCGGCAGGAAACAGGTCAGGCATGGTATTTCATGTGGCTGTTTTCCTCATTTCATCTGAAAAAAAAATGGCCTAACCCATGGTTTGTACTCTACACTACCGTGACATTCTGGAATATATGGAGAAAACGGATCTCCGGAGTCAATCAAGAACACGATGAAAAAACAACCAAACGAGAGAACAACGTGGACACAACAACGGATTCGGACTTCGGGGAAAACGCAAGCACCATCGAGGCCCTTTCCATGTCGTTAGCCCTGAGCATACTACCGTCACATTTTCCAAACACGAAAACACTTGTGGAGCATGCACGGCGGCGACGTCAATACCGACGAGAGCCGCATCATCAGATCAAGGTTATATAATGCCCTCGATTTTCTTTGCACGAAAACAGCTGCAGCGCCAATCAGGCAATTTGTTACGTTCTGCGGTAAGTGTACGAGGATCGTTGGTAACGTCGCATGTGGGTGAACGGTTTTGTCATCGCAAGAATGATTGAGACTTCATGACGCCAACGACACACTCGCCATCGATCCAGCTTAGCTGTGTTGGGGGTATGTACTCAAACCCTCAAGCAACCCGGCCGCTACGCGCGTCAACTAAGCTCCTAACGCGCTCGCCGTTAAGCTGTACAAGGGAGGGGTGCACTCTAACCGTCAAGAAACTCCGCGCGTCGACCAAACAAGCTCCTAACGCGCTCACCGAATCATCGGTGGTGTCCATGCTGGCGTCGTTTGCACCTTCGCCGGCGGCGGCCGCAGCCTTAGGCACGCGCTTCCATACCTGGTGCACATACAGGCACCCCGCTCCCCTCTCCAGTGCAAGACCGATGAAGTCTTGGCCGAAGCCCTGCCAGTTTGCAAGGCTCACGAATAGCCCTCCGGGCGAGAACGGCCTGCGGCGTTGGGGCGAAGAAGAGAGAGATAGAGAGAGTTACGCGGCTGTGGCGAGAGACTAAATTTAAGAAGCGGAGAAGTCACACAATTCGAACAGCTCAGCGCGATTAGTAGTCCAATGATTTCATTTCGGCTTCTAATAAAACGTAGTCGTGGGGTCCGAAATAGCCTGGGTTTTACCCACCACTGAGTTTCTTAAGCTGAAACCAAACCGTTAGGCTGCTGTAGTAGTCGCTCTAGACTGAAACCACGCCATTTTGGAAAGGAAACCCGAGCGATGGTGTTCTTCGCTGTGCACAACTGATGCTGGCTCACATTCTTCTCTGTGGGAACCAAAGACGAGGCAATCGCTACGGGGACCAAGTTTCGTGGATGATGCCTTGCCAGCTGGCCCAGCCGCTTCGTACAAACCTTCTGGCTTGAGAGAGACAGCAGCCGTGCCACATTGTACAGACATTCGGGCCCGGCAAGACACCTCTACATTATATACAGTCGGCGGTCCTCAATAGCGGTAGGTAGCGATAAGAGGTTTTGGTGCCGTTATTAAGGGCAGTGCAGCTATTCCTAATAGCGATTGTACTGAGAGATGCTTTTGTGCCAAGCGATTTCGGTGACGTTATCGCATACAAGAGGACCGCCGACTGTAATTATAATTAATCGACACTTCCCGTAGAGCTACCGTCCGTAGCGCAAGAGGTATGAATAAGACGCATCAGGACAGGTGGCGAGTTACCTGCTAGACATGAGCATCGCGTCGCGTCCTGCTGCGCGCCTATGTAGCGCAATCCTATGGTGCGCTATGTTTGCCCGTACCGAACATCCACGCGCAACGTTTTCAAGCTTTCAGGGAAAAAAATTATACACGCAGAAAGACTACCCGTTCGAGATATACCCACAGCAGTCGAACGAGTTGTGCAAGAGGAGGGCGACGCTTTACTGCTGCCATATATTGCTATGTTCAAGTGCAGCGGTACCTTGATTGAGCAGCAGTGCGAGAATCGCTCGTACCGTAGACTGTTTTTCAATATCTGGTGGGTTTCGGAGCGAAACACAGAGAGGGGTTGTTCAGCTTTGATTAGTGTTGTCTACACCCCTCTGTGGAGGTAGATAATTTATGCATATCAGACACCAGACCGACCTTCCACGCAAAAACGCGGAGGAATAAGAGGAGGGCCTGATGTATTTTCTCTCGTTGCAGTGTCGACAGCAGCAGTGCAGTTGTGCGCACAAATAAAACAGCAGCGTGCTTGCAGCTCGAGAGTATGCGTTCGCAAAAGCCAAGAGCGGTATCAACAGTGGGAACTCGCCCGCGGCATCCCCGCAGCAGGAGGTTATTGGTTATTGGTGTACCCGTCCGGCGAAGACCTGGGGTATATCAAAAGGCTGCCGGTGTCAACACTGCGACAGGTGATATTCGCACAACGGCAACCAGGGCCAAAGGGTGGACCCCAAGAAGTGAATCCTAGTAGGCGTGCTAAACAACCATAGAACATGGCCGTGAAATGCTCAAAGCAACAGGTTTATCTGGAGCAGCCCGTGGAGTGCGTTGTGACGGCAACAACGGCCGTGAGCTGCTTTGCAGACCCCCTGCCTGTCCTCTCTTCTCTAGTCTTCTATCGCCGTCGTGCTGCTGTCCGTGTTACTCACGTGTCGAACGAGAACATGCACTCATCCTTGTAGACCTTGTCGTACGTGCTGGGCGCCTTGACTTTGCTGAAGTGGGGCCGGATCAAGCCCAGTACCTCTTCCGACACGGCATCGCTCTCCACTACGGGCATGGCTGCTACTGCCTTGTCTGTAGCTGCTGTGATGTGCTGTGCAGTGTGGGGCGCGGCAAGGATCCGCTCTGGGGCTCCGTGGATTGTACGTTGAGAGTGGGGGAGGACGGGTAACACGTGTCTCTCTCCTTGCAGCTTGGCTGTGCTGTGTTCATCATCCAAAATACTCCAGTCTCAAGTCCCACTAGTAGCTGGGCGTTGGCAGACCGTTAACACCCTGTCGACACGGTGGACTCTGCCAACCAGGTCCTGAGGTAAGAGGTGCTGCTGGTCTAGCTTTTGGAGCTGCGGAACAAGACAGAGAGATCGCCAAATCGGGTGTTTGTTGCTCTTTCGGCCGCCGTCGTCCGGATCTAACGACAACAACATGTTGTCCAAAGCAGCTCAGGTATGCGTGGCTTCTCTGTGCCTCGCTGCTACCTCAACGACCACGACAACCGAAGCTTTTGTCGTTTCCTCGACTGCCCTGAAGGGCTCGACGGTGGCAGCAGCAGCAGCAGCCAGGGGGCACCATCGTGGGGTATCCTGTGCGCGGTGCAACACTAGCCCGGTGCGCCCCTCTCCCAGCAGCAGGGTGTCAGCTACCATGGCGGGGGATGACCCCGCCGGCAGCAACGGCCGCCGCAGGACAACGCTAAGCAGCGCGTTGCGCAACAGACTTCTGTCTAGGGGCGGGGACGAGCTGGGTGGACGAGAAGACGATGCGGCCGGTGCAGATGGCGAGGTATCGATGAGGCGGCGGGTGCGGGGCGTGATGCGCAGGAGCTTCGTGGGGTTAGCTACGGCTGTGATCATCCGAGCTTCCTTCAACCCGCAGTCCGCTTCGGCGGTAGGGCTGTACAGGCCCAGGCTGGGTAGGGGAACGGCAACGAGCCGCCAGGTAACCGGTGAAGCGCGCTGTCGAGCACGGAGGTGTAGAGCAATTGGATTGCGGAATACATCCGTATGCAGCAACCCCTCCAATGTTACATGCGTCCTTGAGATGATGGATAGTCTGTTTTCACACCTCACCGCCATCATACAGCCGTCCGTGTGTTCGTCGCACTGTGTAATGTTTGTGGTGCGCAACGCGAAGCAAGAGCAACGTTTGCACCAAGCCGCGTACTGCTTTTGTACTGCACCGACCACAGCAGTTGCGTGCAGCAGCTATCGGAGTGTTGGTGCTTGCATTGACCGCTGCTGGCAAGAGTTTTTTACTACCGCAGAGCCGCCGTCGGTGCTTCCGTACACTCCCCTCCCTTTTCTTGCCTGCAGTACCACACAACATCGTAGTAATACAGCAGTAAATTTTCAGGTAGTCTTTGCCCAGATTTATTTCAAATGTTTTGTGCACTCGTCCGTGTTCTTGAAAACTGAGCGCCAAGCCCCGCAGGGGCAAAGGCGGCGATTCCTCCTGTGTTACAATACATTAGTATATCCCGGTTGGTGTTGATACGTCATACAATTATATAGAATAGTAAAAAAAAATCGCTGTCTCACTTGTCTGTCTGTCTTGTTGACAAAGAAAAGAACAAAACAAAACCCGTTCAACCACTCTTGGAACTTCCAGGAAAAAAATGCTAAAATCTTAAGAGCGCCCGGGGCGATTCACGTTCCACAGGTCGCAGGTCGCAGCTCTTTGGCTACTCCCCCCTTGTCCCAGCTCGCTTGATCAGTGTGGCCCAGAAAGTGGACGCATGCGCCTCTTTTCTTGCCACATGTCTCACCACATACCGGTCGCCCAGGCTACGGTTCACAAGGATGGAGCAGGAGCTAACTGGTCATCATCCTTTGGCTTGCCGTGCCAAACCGGATATTGCACGGGCATCCCGGCTACCCCAAACTTTCCACACCCAGCAATTTAGTATTAGTACATCAATGGGGGGATACTTATCTATGCACCCTGCAATCATGTTCGGCTGGGGCGTTTGTTTTTGTTTAGCGATGTTGACCGTGGCAGGGCAAGGGTTGTCCTAGTACCCGCCCTTAAGGGTGGCTGCGTTTGAAGGGTTCATGTCGGGCACTGAACGAACAAGAACAACAGTTGATATCGAGCAGCGGCGGAGTACCAGTGAGGCATCTTTCTTGTTCACAATGGGCACTGCATCTGCTGTATCTGTCTGTCTACTGTCTACTACTATTTGCCAGAGGAGCGGAGACCCAAGGAGATGATAGCGGTGTTGACTGGCTGATGCGCCAACTTTACGGTTTCCTAGATGGAAGAGGCGTGGTGTCCTACCCTTAGTTCACAACGGCGCCGACAATCATATCGCGATTCTCCGCAACATGGTCGGTCTGTGGTTGCCGTGGTGGGGGCAAATCAACGTACAGCACCACGCGATTGGACTGTCTTCCAGATGAGGCCCCCCAAGCACAACCACATACAGAGCTATACCCTTTTTATTTTAATTATCCGTTGGCCTCACACACGCTTGAGACAGCGACTCTTCCAGGGTAAGCGGCTCAACGCTTCATGCAACGTACTCAAGAATCACCCTGAAAAACAGCAGTGTCACAGCAGTACTAACACAGCAGTGCATCCGGCAAGCAGCATACATCGCCCTATCTCAGCACTAATACCTCTGTGTGTATATCTCTTGACTGCTGCCCACTTCCCTACAACCGACGCTATGATACAGCTGGAGGAGCAAGAGGCGAAGAAGCAGGAGCGGATACGCGAGCAGGTTCAGAAGGAGCATGAGGAAAAGCTCGGCTCTGCTGAGGAGATCTACGGAGAACAGGCAGCGCCGGCGGCGGTTTCGACCGCTGGAGAAGTCGTAGATCAGGTATCTACCGCGACGATAGTTTTCTTGAGCCGCGGCTTGCGAAGCGCGACCTTTTTTCCCTTCATCCCAGGAGGAAAGAGAACGGCTCTAAATATCTGTTCCAACACCATGTAGGGCGCCCCAAGTTTAGTTCCCGGGAAGCCTACATATATAGTCCCTACTTCCGACCCAACCGAGACCTATAGGGCACCGTTTGACGATCTGTTGCCTTCCGAGGCAAAATAGGGCACTCTTCTCCACACCGGTTTGGTCGTGCCGCGACAATAGTCGTGCCGGCCGTGCTACACAGGCACTCGTACCCAAAACGATTGGAAATAACTCACCCCAACCCCGGGTTTTCAAGGGGGGACACCAGAGGGGAGATCTCCCGCACAGACACATACACGGTTCTGGCTCAAACCAGGAAAAACAGAGGAAGCACTCAGCTAAACACGCAACCCCGCTGGGAGGAGCAGGACAGCACCGGCGGGGGAAGGGAATCATACACGCAGCTCGTGGCGGGTGCCTCTGTCATTGCTGTTGCTTCAGTGGGTGGGAAGGGATCATGGGCAAACCAAGCCTGTGTCAGGGGCATGAGAAAGACGAGCCAGTTCCAGGAGACGCGGTGTTTTTGTTTCAGACTCTGCCAGACTCTCGCGCTCACAATTTCTGAGCGCCCTGCAGCCTCCCGGTATGTATCAATCACCACACAAGACGGGGCATGAACACAGCTTGTGGTGGATACCTTTGTTATTGCTATTGCTTCGGTGGGTGGGGAGGGGTCACCTGGAAACAATCCTTTGTCACGGGCAAAAATGCGCAGTGGCCTTTGTGGCCTTTTTTCTTTTGCTTTGGCGTTTTTTTTTTTATTCTGTTTTTCCTCGCATGCACACATGTGTTGTCCACTCTCGCAACCTCAGCTTCCGTGGGTCCTATGGCGCCGTGGTCTCTCTCGGTCGCCCCACAAGACGTTGCATACGCACAGCTCGCGGGGAATGGCTTTGCAATTGCTACTGCTTCGCACTGTGCAGAGAAACAACCGAAAAAACAAATCGGCGGAGGAACGCACATGCATAATGTATTGTGTATGACGTATGCATAGGTCGGCCGATGCACACGAATCTCCAACGGCGGTCGTTTTTCGTTTTTGTCGATGATCCCGGATTGAAAATGATCGGCTGCACCGCCGCCGGCAAAAGCATCGCAGGTAGACTGCTGCAGGTATTGAGTCCCCGCGGCTCATTACCCCTCCCTATCTAAAACATACACGCAAGCAACGTCGACGGTTGCAGAGTTCGGAGGTGTGGGGTACCATGGCAGCTGTGCTCTCCTCGCTGTTGCGTGTGGGCCGACTTCGCGAGAAATTTAAGGTTACGAGGAAGTAGAAAAGGGGGGGGGGGGTACGCAGAACCAACAACCTAGCCCAACTTTTCCGAGTGCATGCTTTGTCCAACATGTTTACTTATTATCAATTCGCAGTCGATGTTTTTTGACGCTATGGCACGGTGAACGTTTCCTGGTTGCGTTCCCGATGGTGTTCCGCTTGTACTGCTGTCTCTACTGATGTGTCGATCGGCGTGAAGGGGGGAAGTTATCCACGCTTCGCGCTTGGAGTGATGTGTATGTTGTTTGTGCCAAAGGTGGTTTTGGCTTGAAACCATCGTTACCTCGTTTACTGCAGCACACGTCATTTCGATTGTTGTCATTTCGATTGAAGATTCATGAATCATTTTTTGCGTGTTTTTTTTCGATCTGTAATCTTGGTTGGTGTTCCTTCAAACCCGTCGTCGAGTTGATTGGAGACACCCATGTTTGGCAAACCACGGGCGGACCGTTTAGGAAAAATAAATAGAAACACAGAAGGACTACCCATTCGAGATACAGTATACCCACAGCAGTCAAACGGGATGTGGTGGAGTCTTTTCAGTGTGTGGAGGAAAACCGGCTGGGTACTGGATGGACTTACTTCTAACCTGTTTTAAGTCTATACACTGATGTTTTTTAAGCAGTGATACCAGCTGGTGCTAAGTACGAATCTTTTTGGACCTTTTGCTGGGGAAAAAGTCCGCCACAGTCGTGGTCCCGGTTCAGCGGTTCCTTCCGTGTTTAGCGGGATGCCCTGAATACCGTTTCCAAAATCTCGTGGCACGGCTGCACCTCGGTATTCAAAACTACAATATTTACTTCCAATCAATCCGGTTTAGCGGCGATGCCCTCAGGGGCTATAACATTTTGTTACACTACAAAGACCGCTATACCGGGGCCACGACTGCATGTCCCCAAAACGGCAGCAAGTAAGTCATTGTGACGTTTTGCTTTCGCTTCGGACACGGCTTTTTTTTTTTTCGTTGTTGCAGGCAGGAGAAGCCACCGCAAAACGGGCGCAGGCGACCACGGGGAGGACAGAAATCATATCGCGCATCAGCGATGAAACGGTGGCTAAGATTTGCGCGCTTCCGACTCCTGAGGCTCAAGAACGGGCTCTGCAGATGCTCCTAAAGGAGGACTATCCAACGGTAGGTTTGCACGCACGATGAGAAGCGTTTTTTTTTTGTTTTGTCCTCTTCTTGTGTGTTGGAATTTTTCTTTCTCGCGTTTCATCGAGAGCAGGATGATTGTTTCACGATACACGTGTTTTTTTTTGTATCGATTCGTTTCAGCTTGTCTTGTGATATTTGCGAATTTGGACGGGGTTTTACTGGCGCGTGATGTTCGAACACCCATACCGTAAGCTCAACAACCGCCTACGCTTGGGTCTGCCCACGTTCTAGAAGATTCACCATGACCGGTCATCCTCTCATTATGTTTGTCATCATGAGACGGTCCCTGTTTAGCGCCGGTTGAATGGTGTCATCATGAGACTGTTCAGTAGAGGTCCCTGCCTATTATAGTGCGGGTTAAATAGTGTCATCGTGAGACTGTACAGTAGAGGTCCCTGCCTATTATAGTGCGGGTTAAATAGTGTCATCAGGAGACTGTACGGTAGAGGTCCCTGTTTAGTGCGGGTTGAATAGTGTCATCAGGAGACTGTACAGTTGAGGTTCCTGTTTAGTGCCGGTTGAGTACTGCCGGTGTTTTCGGCGGGAACACACTGAATTTCAAAGTCATTCTCAACACTTGGAACAGTGCCGGTCCGGTATAGTGCCGGTCTATACTCTGGGCACGTACCGGCACTAAACAGGGACCTTGACTGTATATGGTACATATTTGTAAGATTTTTATTTTAGTTTTGTTGAGGTTCGCTTGCCTGTTCGAGTCAAAAACACGTCAGCTGTGTGAGCTGTTGAGCTTGAGAAGTGTCACGCCACAGCTGGCAGCCAGCTGTTATCCCTGCTTTTCGTTTTCATCGTGCATCGCACCGCTTGATGATACTGCTGTGCTCACATGAACCCACTAATGTATGCATGCTTGGTTTTTTGTGTGTGAAAGGTCTGGAGGAAGTTAACGACGCAGCAGCGCGCCGCCATCACCAAGCTGAGGGTCGAGAACAAGACTTTCAAGGCCGTATCTATCGGGGACATGAGGAAGAGAGGGAAGCGGTGAGATACGTGCAGACTCTTTTGTATTTTGTTGTTGTTGGCTGTGCGGCGAGGCCGAACCACAAAAGGGAGTAAGGTCGACTTGAAGACCTTTGTTTTCGTTGATATGGCGAGTTTTCTGAGTACAGCAGTCACGATCCCGATACACCGCGGGATAGTGACAGGCAAAAATTACCGCGGTACATCGGGACCCCCGCACTCTGGAGTGTTGGGGAATATACAGTTTTTTGTATGTAGGAAAATCCCGTGAAAAGGCGGTTTTTACCGCGCTGTATCGGTACCCACACTACTCGGGACCGCGGTACGGTGTATCGGTACGTTACATCGGGACCACCACTGTAAGAGGCAGGAGGCCGAAGCAGAGGCAAGTAGGTTGGCTTCGAAAACCTTTGTTTCTTGATGTTGACTGCCAACCGACCAGCTTGCCACACTTCTCCCATAAATCCACCACCGACGGATGCATGCCCGCGCCAGTCAGGGGGTACTCGGCAGAGTACTGATGTACGGCCCCCCCCGGGGAGGTTTGTGTGTGTCTTTATTATTAAATAGCATCGACCGCGCTAACCGGCTGACCGATGAAAATACGTCAGTCTTACGATTGTGCGGTTGAAAACACAAAACGCTTCTATCTGCCATGAACTGGGACCCCGTGAGGGGGCAGCGTGTGTGTGTGTGTGTGTGTGGCTTACGTGCATCTTGTGTGCATGATGGACACAACGGGATGGGATCTTCTCGACTCGCACATGTCTCCGACTCAGGAAGCTCAAAAGACACAAGCATTTGCGTTACAACACCCATGAGGAGTTCCCGTGCGATAAAAAGGGCTTACCGCATTTGCCGGAGAGATGGCACCCCCGTGTTGGCGTTTTTTTTATTGCGTATTTCACCACAACCACGGGGGTACCACTGCCGACAAGGGTAGTTTTGGAAACGTCTCATCGAGGGCTTTCCTGAGAGGTTTCGGTTGGCGTTTTCACCCTCCTAGTTGTGGAGAAATACGCTACGCTAACATAATGCTGACACGGGGGTGCCGTCTGTCCGACAATTACGGTGTTCGTGTCAACCCGGTGGAGCTTTTTTTTGTGTGTGTGTGTCCCGTTTTTGGCTCACAGCAGCACCAGCAGCAGCAGAAAAGAGGGTTTTGGCTTTAGTTTTTTTCGTTGCGATTGCTTCGAATTATTCACGAATATTCCACTTCATTTATCGCAGTACATGCCCCCCCCCCGCGCTTACATGAAACGTTTTGTTGATTGCACTACCCCGCCCGCCTGTGTCCGTTCATTTTCGGTTGCGAAAGCGACTTGTCCCCGCTTGGTCTGACCTTCTCGGCCTTCCTGTTCGTCACTGGCATGCGGGCGAGCCTCAGGAGCATGTCAAACCAAAGGAAGAGGGTGAGTTGGGAGTTGGGCCTATGTGCCGCCGAGGACACTCATTTGGTCTTAAGAAGAACACGACAGGTCCATCTCTTGCACAGATTAAGAGTCTGATTAGCGATTCCATAGCGTTGTTGTTGTTCTTGTGGTTCTGTTTACATAAAACAAAAACAAATAAACGTTCCGATATCTAGTCAGACCTTGATCTGTCCGTTGCACGGTGACCAACCTATGTTTCTACCGTTGCCCGAGCAGCATACATCGATATCTCGATATCTCCCCTGTGGGTAACAGGCTCGACAAGCTATCGTTACTCATTTCTTCAATTTTTTGTCGGTGTCATGATCATCTCATATTCGCTGGGCACCCGTACAGGATTTCCTTGAAACCATTGTGTAAACCTAGGCTACTTAGCTGGGTTCACGATGAGGAGTTCCCGTGCGGGTAGGCGTTTTTTCTCCAAGGGACCATCCCAATTGGTCAGCAATGCTGTGTGGCTTTCCTATGTACGGTAGTCTCACGAAGAACGTGGTTCGGAAGTACAGCAGTCGTCCCTCCGTTAAGGACACGTACGGTTTTTCGTTGAAACAGGCGTCCTCTCAAGAGGGGGAAGTGTCATTGAGGTTTATCCCCCACCCCCTATGGTGTACATGAGTGAGCTGGGAAAATAGTAGGAAGGTACAGGGAGATGTTTGAGGCACCCTCTTATACCAGAATAGAGGGTACCCAACTATACTTAAGCGGGTCGAGTCTGTGACAACCAATTTCGACCGTCTTATAAGGCACCCTCTTAAATCAAAGCCCCCTCTTATACCAGAATAGAGGGTACCCAACTACCCTTAAGCGGGTCGAGTCCGTGACAACCGATTTCGACCGTCTTATAAGGCACCCTCTTAAAAGGTACCCTACCTCTTATATCGGAGCCATGACTGTACAGTATTGTATGCATAACTGTTCTTCAGGTGAAAGTGGAGTCGGCAAAGTTTGATGCCGAAAAGGACGAATTCATGGACGTCGACGGGGAGGCTGAGTTTGACGTCGACATCATGAAGGAACTCAGGTGCGTCTCGTTATATCTTCGTCGTAGATCTCTTGTCGTAGATCTCTTGTCGTAGATCTCTTGACGTCGACGGGGAGGTTGAGTTTGACGTCGACATCATGAAGGAACTCAGGTGCGTCTCGTTATATCTTCGTCGTAGATCTCTTGTTGTAGATCTCTTGTCGTAGATCTCTTGACGTCGACGGGGAGGTTGAGTTTGACGTCGACATCATGAAGGAACTCAGGTGCGTCTCGTTATATCTTCGTCGTAGATCTCTTGTTGTAGATCTCTTGTCGTAGATCTCTTGACGTCGACGGGGAGGTTGAGTTTGACGTCGACATCATGAAGGAACTCAGGTGCGTCTCGTTATATCTTCGTCGTAGATCTCTTGTTGTAGATCTCTTGTCGTAGATCTCTTGACGTCGACGGGGAGGTTGAGTTTGACGTCGACATCATGAAGGAACTCAGGTGCGTCTCGTTATATCTTCGTCGTAGATCTCTTGTTGTAGATCTCTTGTCGTAGATCTCTGCCGTAGATTTCTATGTCTACGAACTCACAGGTGCGTTTCGTCGATCGGTCAAACAGATCTTGGTCGTAGATCTCTGTGGTAGATTTCTGTGAATGGACTCACAGGTGCGCTTCGTCAACCGGTCAAACACATGTTGCGATCTCTGGTGTAGATTCTATGCTGGGTCGTTGTGCGTACAACTTAATTTTGTAATGTATCAGGGACATGAGTACGAAGTAGAAGCGTTGGTCTTCATCGTACATGTCTGTGTCGTGTGTTGTTTTGCGCATGTGTTCACGTATCAGAGATTCCAAGTGTAGATGTGTTGATCGTAGACATCTGTGGTAGATCTTTATCGTAGACCTCTGTGATATGCGGATATTCTACGTGTCAGAGAACATGCATACGAAGAATAGATATTTATTCTTAGTTCTGTATCGTAAGCCTCTGTGATAGGGTTGTGGTACGGATAAACCAACGAATCAGAGAATACCCAGCTGACCCGTTCGCAACTCGCATTGATTGTGTTTGAATATGTCCATTTTTTTTTTTTTTTTGTTACGAAGAACGTAACAAATCCACGACCTCCACAGATGAGATTCCGTGGTAGATTAGCAATGCATTTATTGTATTGTACGGCGGTGAACAACTTATTTTGAAGTTTTTCGCGGTCGTACCCCTCTTTTTTTTTTTGCACGGTTACACAGGGACATGAAGGAGAAGATGGCCGGGCCGGGCGATAGTTACGCCAAGGACACCCGGGCCTACAACCCCGACTTTGCCGCGGCTGCGGGCGACGAGGAAGAGTACGACAAGAAGATCAAGGAGGTGAGTACGACAAGAAGATCCGAAGAGGTACAGCACACCGCTTCGTTTTCGAAACCAACGACAGTATACCCTTTTTTCGGGGCTGAGTCCGCGCTCTCACAGTAGAGTACGACAACAAGATGAAGGTGATGCACCGCTTCGTTTTTGGAAACCAACTGTACCCTTTTTTGGCTTCAGTCGGCTCTCTCACAGCAGTAGAGTACGACAAGAAGATGAAAGAGGTACAGCACACCGCTTCGTCCTCGAAACCTACTAAATACTGCTGTACCCTCTTTTTTTTTCTCGCGTCGGCGCCCTTATTATCATACCTTGTTTTCCCAGGCTTTGGAGGGCACCGGCAAGGCCGGAAAGTCGAACAAAGGCGAGACGAGGAAAGTGTTCACCAACGAACCTACCACCGGTCCGACCGCGGCTTCCGGGGACCAAGACCTGCTGGGTGGCGATGGCAATGCCGGGGCCGATACGAGCGGGGGTGCCGCAAGCGCGGCTGCGGAGGTATGTAGGGATCGTCTTTCGGCGAGAAATTTAAGTTTATGCGGAAATAGAACAGGGAGGGGGTACGCAGACCCTATTCCCTAACCCTATCCCTAACCCAACTTCCCCGATTGCATTATTTATCCAACATGTTTTTGCTTTTTTCAAAAAGCCCTGCTAAGGCTACACTGGTATGTAGGCCCTGCCGCTCGCTCTCCCTTCTTCTTTGATTTTGTGTTTGTATATGCGCAAGTGTTACCAGCATCGACCGTGCGTACTGACCAATGAAAACCATCAGTCAAGTCTTATTTAGTGCGGCTCAAAGCAAAACAGGTTCTATAGGCCATGATCTGTGTGTGTGTGTTTTTTTTAGCATCGACTGCGCTAACCGACAGACCAATGAAAATACGCCAGTCTGTGCGTGTGTGTGTATGTGTGTTTGCTTTTCGATCGTCCGGTGGGTTGGTTCGACAAGGGGATTCCAGTTCTCCATCGTCCATGATCCATGCTCGTGTCGTGTTTTTGTTTTTTTTCTGTGTGTGTGTGTGTGTGTGTGTGTTTTTTTAGCGGGGTATTTTTTTCTTGTTTCTGGCCCTGTGAGGTACTGTATTGGCGGACAGCGGTCTACTCAGGCGAAGTGTCCGTGATTTTCGTGTTTTTGCTTGGTGAGAGGCCGTTGTGTGCAATACACAAGACACCCACACCCGCACACACGCTCCCTCACAAAGGGGTCCCAGATTGTGGCCTTAGAAGCATTGTGTGTTTTCAACCACACTGAGACTGACGTATTTTCATTGGTCAGCCGGTTAGCGCGGTCGATGCTAAAAAAAAAAAAAAACACGCACACACACACACACACACACACTCACGGGTCCCAGATCGCCTCTAGACGTGTTCTATGTACGAACGTTCTTCCTTTGGGCGACTGTCATGACCCGAGACTTTACCCAAATCACGAATCTGGCGAGACCTATCGCGTGGTCTGATCTTGTGCTTGTGACGTCATGTGTGCCACATGCTCAGTAGCGAGCATACGCGAAACGCCTATTACAACAACTCCAAAGGCTTGGTCTGATGTTGTCCTCGTCGTGTCTTGTGTGCTTGCCACAGGCGAAGAAGCAAGCGGACGCCAAAAGGCTGGAGGACCTGTTCAACAACTCCTCTATCGACGAGCCCGAAGACGACAACGCGGACGGCAGGGAACGCTTGCCGTAGGCACGAGACAGACGACAGACTACATACCGTCAGAGTACGCGGAGAGACCGGCTTTCAATACTCGATTGCTTCGCAACCAAGAGGTTGCGGGAAAATCCCAACTGGACGCCCTCGACGAGATTTTTCCAAAACCTTAGTTGGTGGTGTTGGCACAATCTTGGTTGTGGGGCCATCGAGCTTTGAGAACCGGTCCCCGGGGGGGGGGTGGGGGGGGGGTGCCGTTTCTCCTCTCGCGTCTTACGGTACTAGGAGAAGAAGAGCAAGGGCTGAGAGACAAGTGGGCTCTCTCGCCTGGAGGCAGCAGACGAAAATACCAGAAAACCGGCGTCTGGGGCGGCAGACAGAGCCTTGTGCCGAAATTAGATTTTGTTTGACACCCATGCCGTGAAATTTCGGCCATGTGTTTTCCATGTGCGTTTTGTCCGCTCTTCCTTGTCGTCTTTCTTGTAGTCCCGTTGGCCGGATTGAGCCCCGCTCGAATACGATAGCTGGGGGTAGGTAATCACATCGTTGTAGCTAGCGCTCGACCGCTCGGTCCTCGCGCTGTTGCTATACCATAGCAGCCGTTTGCTAGTCCTCCTGGACTGCGTCGTTCTGCCCTTGACACGGCATACACTGACGGTTGGTTTTTTTCCCGAGCCACGTCATGCTATTGTGGCACACACATACCGATACGGGTTTCGACCGTCTGCTTGGGGGATTTATTCGCGACCGGGTTAAACCCAGCGTGTTTCCTGCGCTCATTCTTTGCATGGCAACGCGTGGCAAGTCTTCGGCGGTGCTAGCCTTAAGGGCGCGCATACGAAGGGTAGGACATACTATTCGAAACAGCTAAAACATGACTGAGACGCGTAATCGTTTCGTTCAACAGTGCGAAACGTATTTTCTGGTTGTTTCGGGGTAAATTTGTTGCCGCGAGAAGCGGGAGGGGGGGAGCAAGGTTCGCACGCATGTCGCATGTTGTCATGTCTTACCGGTATTTAGACATTTTTTTTTGTGGTCCGTTCCGTCCTTCGACATATGCGTACGACCTCGTACTCCTTAGACATGCATACGCGTACTGGCTCGTACGCACAAATTGTTCCTTTTTTGTTCGTTGGAGATGCTGACCGGATCCAACAAGGCGAGGTGCTCAGTATGCCCAGGATCCGAGTTTTGTTTTTTTTGTCCATTGGCCGAAAGACGAAGGGAAATGTTACACACTAAGATACGTACGGCATGAAGGCATGCTGTGCACAGCGAGCAGCGAGACGGCCGCCTTCAATCTATTCGCTCTCCCATGGTAGTGCTGTGAAGTCAGCAAGGTGCGATCACACATCTTCTATTGTTGAACTTTTTGCTTTTTTCGCCCACTGCAACAGCAGTACTTGCAGCAAACTCTCGAAACATTTTGCGCTCTTTCGCCGGCGCCGGGAAAAGAAAAGAAAAATGACCAACTAACCTGGTTCTATTGTAGATATTGTTGCGGGGGAAAACCAAGCCTCCCTCGTGTGATTGTTTTTGTTGATCACTACAAATCAGCGCTTCCACCACACAGCATTTTTCGTGCCATGTAGAAGCTCCATCCGATCAGTGGGCACACAGAAGAGTTCCTCTCCGTCCGCGCCTGCCTTCGATATTTAACGCGACAAGAGTACCCCCTACACAAAAAGACAACTAGTGTACTGTACTCCCGCTGGGTATTGTGGGTATTGTTTCTGAGATCCGGGATCGATCGTGCTCCGTCCAAAGTATCGTCAGGCTTGCATCAATTGCATGGTGGAAGATGTTTCGATACTCTTTTTTTGCGCTTCTGATGTCCAGGTTAGGTAGCAAGGGCGAAGGCGCTTTTTTTTTGGTATCATCGCGGTTCCATCACTCCGTGTTGGCCTTCCTTATCGTTTGTGACCACGGGCGGGCGAGCTTGGGAAAAAGCCCTTTTGGTGCCGCACCTCGATGAGTTGTCCTTTGCTTGACGCTAATGGAACCGTTCAAACTGCTGTAGATCGCTGCCCAAAGCGACGGAGTTGTTGTGTACTTGTGCTAGCCACGAAAAAGCTAAAAGCCTCCCCGCCGCTATAGCTGTGCAGCAAACAGGCCCGAGCGGCCAAAAACAAACACATACACATCGGAATAGTTGAGTTTCGAAACCGAAAAAGTAGCGGAAGAAACACCAGGAAGAAAAAAAAAAGCCGAATAGTTGGGTTTTGAAACTGAAAAATTAGCGGAACACCCCGCAACAAGACCTGATTCGGTTCCTTCCTTCCCCTAATACACAGACGGCGACACCCGCCCTCCCCTCTACCCATACGCATAAAATGACGAATAATCTTGAACGAAAAACACGGTGGTTCCTACACTTGTTAGCCGCCTTCCTGTTGGACTGATGCCGCAGAACACCAAAAAACATACGTAGACCATTAGACTGCTGCTGCTGTCCGCCAAACAGCAGCCACTGTTTTTCTCCCTTGGTAGTGCTAAAGCCCAGCCCTCTACCGTGGTGCCAATGATCTATGGCATGAGCAAAAAAAGTGACATATAGTAGGACGAGAACAGCGACTGACAAGATCGTTCATCGTTCATCACTTCATCTCCCTAGACGACAATCACCGACCGGCACGGTGAGGAAAACAGTCGGTCTGCACCGTTCCAGCACTTCAGACAGGAGATCGGGCACTGGCAAGTCAAAATGGGACATACCGCGTGCCGGCGGGAGAAATCCATGAAAAATCTGGTAGATAACCACGGATCCATCCAGCCAAGCAAAATCAGCTTACCCTGACAGCCTAGCGCTTCGCCTGCCTACAGTCAGAGAAAGGTCAAAACGGCAAAGCTTCAGACGGGCAACGCCGACGATACTCGTCGAACGTTGCTACATCGAATACTGCCGTATCGTACGTATCATCTTGCCGAAGAAGATTCAGTTCCACCCCCTGGTAGACCTACCCCTACTACAATACCGGGGTCGTCGCTGCTACGTTAGAGCTTGGAGTAGTACGACGTCTGGTGGGTGACCATGGAGCGGGAGGCCGAGCTGACCCGTGTGCAGCCCGTGAGCTGAAGGGCCATGACAAGCTCGTCGTGCAAGAGCTTGAGGACCTTCGACACTCCTTCCTCGCCCTAGTACACCCAACCAGATCGTTGATCGACAGAAAGGAAAGCACAGGGAGGGTTTTGACGATCGTGTCGTTGGCGTTTCGTTGACATTGACATTGTCACTACATGTACCGTCTTCCGACTATACGGGTCAATTTTACAGAAACACAGTCTTTGCAAGGACCGAGAAGCAATGGTTGGGGTTTGGACGTGAATGGAGGGAGGGTTGGGGATGGGGGGACAGGGGGCTAAATAGTTTCTGCTTCCGCTGTGTTTGCTCCCGCTGTGCGCGAGGTACCGGTCGACTGGTTCAAACAACAACATCAAGAACAACAACGTTGATGAAGTCTATTGGCAGTCTGCCCCGTCAAGTTGCTCTGTGCGCAAGACCCCAGAGAACCGGTAGAAAGAACAAAAACAACAGCAGCAATGACAACAACAATACAAGCCAAAAACAAAGTTGAAAAGAAACCAATGGTAGGCTGTACCGCTGCTTTAACTTACGATGTGCGCGAGATCCCAGCCGACTAAACAACAACAACCAATCAAGTCAAGACAATGTACATAAAACGGAAATAGACAAAAGTGGGTATACCCACCGGCTTCTAGAAGTACAGTTGTATTTTTTCATGTGCCCACCTTCTGTCCATTTGTGTACCCACCCATTCGTCCGAATTGTACCAACTTTTGTCCGCTTTGAAAATCCACCTCCACGTCACCGCACGGCAGAACATCGAGAATAGCCTTGGACCATAACCTTAACCCCTGCTCAACACCGTACTCATGGCATCTTTCGCAAACAAAAATACCGCGGCGGTGAAACATGTCAGAATATGTCAGATCCCTTCGGTATCCAACGGCAACCACACAACCTCGCGGCACGGCAAGATACCCGGCAAGTAGCGCACTCACGGCACGCCACAAACGCGTGCAACGAGACAACGGGTCGCGCATACAGATCAAGTACCGGAACAGAGAACAACCCGCACATCACACACACACCACCCACGTGCAGGGCCAAGCGCGGGCACACCTCCGTCAATTGGTGTTGGCCCCGTGGTTGTGGGTGCAACTTTTGCTTCGTCCAAGGACTTCAAAAATGGGCTTCGAACGACGCACGATCGCGGATTCTAGGCAGTGCCGCTTAGACCCCAGGGTCAATGGCGGTAGGGGCAAGCTCTACCGCTGCACCGGGGTCATCATCACCGGGAAGGCGACATCCGGCTGCCCGGTACGTGCCCAGGCGTGCAAGGTACGGGACGGCAGCTGGAAGGTGACCGAGGTGGAATTAGAGCATGTGGCCTGCACCGGGCAGGCCGAAAAGAAGAAGAAGCACATCAACCGCAGGTGTGTGGAGGAGGAAGCGGTGGCGATTGTGAACTCCAACAACAGCATTAGCGCGCCGGAACTCGCGAAGACGCTTAAGCCAACCGCCGCCGGCACTCGCGAAGACGCTTAAGCCAACCGCCCCGTCTTC